AGTTTTTTTTCAACGCGAAATTCTACAAAAAAGTCTCATACCTGTTTATTGGCAAATATTAAAAGAACAGCATCTCGTAATTCATCTTCAGCAAGCATACGTTGAAGTTCATCACGTGCTTCACCAACACGTTCACGATCATTACTATCAACAACAAATATTAAACCTTGAGTATTTTGAAAGTAATGTCTCCAAAGTGGACGAATTTTATCCTTTGTAAATAAAATAAAATAAAAATCATTTGAAAAATATTTTCAATAACTTACTTGACCACCAACATCCCATACTGTAAAACTAATATTTTTATATTCGACAGTTTCAACATTGAAACCTAAAAGAAAAATTATATTTAAACGAATTCAAATTTAAAATATTTATTTTCTTTTTACCGATTGTAGGAATGGTTGTAACAATTTCACCTAATTTTAATTTATACAAAATTGTTGTTTTACCTAATAAGGAAATAATGAATAATGTTTTGTTTTTTTTAAAATTTTATTAACGGACCTGCTGCATCAAGACCAACCATTAGAATACGCATTTCCTTCTTGCCGAAGAGATTTTTAAAAAGATTAGCAAATACATTTCCCATTTTTTGATGATTGTTGACGAATGTTTTTTTTTTTTATTGCTTAGAATAAACCAATGAAAATGGGAAAAGTAAAAAGAAGATGGAAAAATTCTAAAGAATAAATGAATAAAATTACATATTTTATATTCCGAATAAAAAAAAATGATTCAATTCAATTCGTGGCATACTTAGCCACGTAGACAGGTTATGAACAACAAGTCAAGCGACCATGAGAGAGAAGAAAAAAAAGAAGGACAGGAACAAATATGACGACAAGAAAAAAAAAATCAGCAGCCATTGCTTATGTTGAATGTCTCAATGATTAAGTTAATTCAACGACAGAAAGAATATAATAATAAAAACAATGAAAAAATTATTAATTAAATTATGTAATAATTTTTTTCTAGAACTTTTTTTTGTCCAAAATTTTATAACAATCGAGCGCCATCTACAAATTGAACTTTTCACTGTTTAACGGTACTAAAATCCTGTCAAATAATATAAAGATAGCTCGATAATTTTTTGAAGTCATAACCTATATGAGTTATGACAAAAATCAAACTTTTCCGTTATATGACACAAGAGTTCTAGAACTAATGACATCTATTATTCATACAATTGAATAATCTGGAACAATCATCGATTCGGGGGTGTTCCAGATTTGTCAGGATTGGGAAAGGTCAATGACTCAGGAAGTTGATTGAAACATTTTTACTAAGGTGGGCCGATTTTAAGGAAGTGGAATAAGTGAGCAAAAATAATAATAATAGAACACTGGAATTCTGCTGAAGAAAGCCGATTCATGGATTAACGACCTTTGACCTGGTCTAGTTCATGAGTCACTTATCTAATTTATACTCAGAGCTAGATAGAACAAAATCTTGCCGGATGTTTTGTAAGGAAAGATTGAATTGAGAACTACAAGCTATGGGGACTGTGTGAGAGTCGATTAGAAATAGTAGAGGAAAGTGTGCTCGAAATTTCAAAGTAAAAAATCTTTAGTTTAGACTGAAATTAATTTTTAATATCTGGCTATCTTTTTGTGAGCATAGTGAATTCATTGAACATGATCTGAGACTCTCATCATATGATGAGAAAATGTTAGCTCAATATTTAGAGTTGGAATTTTGATGACAACTAGAAATCTGTCAGTTGAAAAGTTCCAGGCTCATATTTCTTAAAAGCCGCTGATACAGGTCGTTCAACCAACAGCACTCATTACCAAAAATCTGTGTTAATCGAAAAGGGTTCTTATCCAACTGTTAAGCAGCATCCTCGCAGTTTCCGATATTGCAATAGACGTATTGGTAGTAACTATGCTACTCAACGAGTTGAACATGATTTCATTCTTGTGCTCAAATGGTCAGCAATTCTAACATTTCACGTAGGTAATTTTGTGTAGGTCATACACGACACATAAATAAAATGTGAATGTGCAGAAATCGTCTTAACCAATACTCATACCCATGCTCATCAATCATTTGAATTTTGTTTCATGCAATGTAAATCTTTTTTTTCGCACATACTATTCAGTATCATTGATAACTTGTTCAATAGATCTTTGTTTGCTGAGGTCTTGTTTGTTTATATGACTTTGATGAACGAAATCAACCGAAAAATGAAGCAGTCGAAGATTAATTTATTATTTAAATATGTCCATGTCATAGATATGTCTACTGGCTGATTTTTCAGGCAGCCTATGGATGTATAACAGAAAGATTTGATTCGAAAGTAATATGGAAAATTAATTTTAAGTACTGATTGTATTGTAATGAATATGCAGCATCGAATGAAAAACAATTTTTCATACGTTTATCGCACAAGAAAATTGTTTAATTTGATGTTAATTGCGTTTGCAAAAAAGAATGAAAGCAATGCTATGTTGATTAGATTAATTGTATCTGAAATGTTCAAATCGAAAACGTTAACTATGATTCAACAGCACAGACACTTATCCAAATCTTCGATTGTTTGCAAAGGATTCGTGAATCATTGTACGACTGATAATGACGTATCAGATGTAGTGAGAGACCAAAGAGGTAACAATAACACGTGGCAAACACTTTGTGTATTTTGATAACACATTAGGCTGTTTGCTTTTTTTTCTTTCTGAAGATACTGCGTGCAATACTTTATCACAACTCAGCTTCACTATTTAAATCATTGTGACAACGAACTACTCATATTTCTTTAGCTAGTTAACAATCATGGCAAAAGAACTGGCACGACTACATGGGATCATTACTTCGAATTTGAACAAAATTCACAAAAATGGTGTATACCTTTCTCTGTATCTTGTAGTCAACGATATAACTTGTTTGATCTTTTAAAATTTAGCCGTTGAGTTTGAAAGTCTTACCACATTGCAAAAAAGTGAAGGATGGAGGTCTATAATACCTCGCCTGTATGTATATGTATGTTGTATTTTAATATTGAATGATAATTAGTTTTCTCTTCTAAATTCTGCTAGTGATCCGCTTTTGGATAATACCAATGATTTGATTATAAAAACTGGTGAGGCGTTGAAACAAATCAAGGATATATTTTGTTTGAGCCCAGCCGAACAGGCAAGTTATTGAATGTTTATCAAGTCATAACAGATTATAGGAGAAAACGAAAAAAGAGAAATATACGAATCGAATTGTTAATATTGTCTTCTCCGTTAGGAAATGAGATTATGACTATTTAAAAAAAAATAGATATTCAATCAATGTCTACTTGAAATTATTTCAGAACCAAAAACAGTCATTGATTGAAAGTCTGAATAGGGCACATCTCCAGGCGCTCCAACGATTTTCAATAGCTCAACGTAATGCTGTTTTTCTGTTCAGTTCTATCGACGATGAATCTTCTGTTGTGCCGAAACGAGAAATGATATCCGCTGAACAAATCGAAGTGAAAAAGAGCATCCGTGAACCAATTCGCGGTAAGACACAAAACTCTAGTGATTGTCAGCTGTTGAGATACAGATTCTTGCACTTTCAATCAAATATATACCATTTCGTGCCTGTAGTCAAGTCATGTTGAAAACTAATTTCCGATTGTAAAAACACAGGACTCGGAAGTTTTTAATAGGAAAAGATACGAGCTGCTAAATTTGTTCAAGTGAGTATAACGGTCTTTTGTGATTTTTTTTCAGTGCTTGAGAACAAAAAAATAGATCGCGATAGAAATGATCAGATAATGTCTAGAGATATACATACGGCTCCTATTCGTTCACTCAATGACTTTCTTTTCAATGCTACATGGAATGTGCCGAGGCATTGGGATGATGCTCGGATGCAAAATAGAGTCTTCAGCAATTTAATCTACTATCAAACCAATTACTTCATATTTGGTATCGCATGTCTATTGCTGATCGGGTAAGTCATTTGTTTTTGATGTTGACAAAATGCATAACTTCTGATTTAGGATCATGTTTCCTGTCGATTTTCTAATTATTTTATGTCTAATTCTTATTCTTCTGGGGCAATCAAGCAATGGCTCATCATTTACCAGTAGATATCGAGCCAATCAGAATACGTCCTCGTTTCGTCATACATCTTCGTCTACATCCACAAAAGGTTTTTTGAGTCTTGCTTTTATCATTTTACTCGGTGTGGCATTTTATAATTTGACTCTTTTGAATGTATTCTTAATCCTTCTTTTTGGCATTCTACTGCCTCTGCTTGGTTCGTACGGTTTTGTTTTGTTCGATGTATTCATAAACTTTCTTATCGATGTTGTAGCTATTCTTTTCCATGCAATCTTGCGAAAACGTAACTTAGCAAACAAGTGGTCAAATCAACTTGATCGTATTCGTTCACGAACCACACTGATGGCCATCTTTCTTGAAAAGTTCGAACTCTACAATGCATCTGTACTGGAATAGAATGACAAGCAAACAAGACGTCCTTTTGGCAATTCAGTCGTGTCCATCAGAATAAGTTTTTAAAAATGTCACAATAGATTCATGACCTTTCTAATTATCGTTGTCTTTCTTATTCTCAAGGGATTGTGGATGCACGTGGGTATGCAAGGAATGAATATCCACACCCACACCCTCTATTATTTGAGCATATACTCGGTCCAAAAGCGATTGGACACTTGGGGATATTCCCTCGTAAGCATTATTTTTATTATGTAGATTTTCATTCTTTTCGATAGAATCCAAAATTTTCTGCTCTGTTCTGATAGATTCGTTCTATATAAATGAGTTTATTTACATAATATCTACATTCACATGAAAAAAAATAGTCTTCGAAATGTTCTCGTAATTGAAAATTGCGATTTCCATGTCTGAGCATTGTACATATATAACAGGCTTTTGCACAATTGAATCGTATCGCATCTCTTGTAAAGTTGTCTGTCGCTTTTTTTCTAAAAATTTGTATTTGGCAACGAGACGAACATTATTTGGTAAACACACTTTTATATCAAGTAAATAAAATTATTCGATATAATCATCATGAGCTTCAATACGGCAAATGGTGGTAAGATAAGGATATTTAATAATTGAAAAACCTTCATTGTCATTATGTAATTTGTTGTTCTGCAGTTTACGATTAACAACAGTTAATTCTTTGATAAATGGGAATGGTTGAGGGATTTGAAGAAAAAATTCATGTTCAAATAGATGTTCATCATGTAAACATACTTGAACAACAAATTTAAATAATCTAGCTGGAAAATTATTTGTAATATTATCATAATATATCAACCTATATGGATATGAATAAGTATGACAATAACTAAATTTTCCTTATGGAAAATAACCAACACAAGATATAATTTGATTAATTGAACAAAATTTTGAATATATATTGAATAGTTTCGTTTGATAGTAAATTAATTTTAGTAGGAAGACGATTGAATGAACGAATATTAAATGTAAATTTATTTAATCGTGATAGAATTAATGATAGTTTCTTTTAAATCATTTACATCAACCAATGCTTTTCTACGATCAACCTTAAGATTTGAATCCAATTTTTCTAAAGTCAACATTCTTTGTAGCAATGATACAATTAATTCATCATAAACATGTGAAGTCGTTGTTCTCTCGATAATATAATAAGCATCATCAATTTTGATAAGAATGGTTAATACATTTTGTTTTAGGAAGGTTGTATGAATCATTTTAAAGATAATTAGCTCTTGCTTTATTAATTATAATATAGAGATATATATGAATTACAATATATAAAATAACTGTAAGATATTAACTATAATGTGCAAAAGTATAATACATGATATTATATGTAAATATTAATATATGACTATGTGTATCAGAGATCCGAATGGGCTGGGCTGGGCTGGGCCGAAGAAAGCCAACCCATGGGTTATCGACCTTTGGCCCAGCCCAGCCCATGGTTTTCCTTTGAAAAATTAGCCCAGCCCACCCATGGGCGACCCATCTAGTTCAACATTTTTTCATGGAATAGTTTAACTTGCTATATTCGTCAAAGTTATTTATGATCGCTAACTATTCTATTATCACCTGCCCTTCTACCGATTCCTATCGTAGACAAAAACAGTATGCATTTGACCAGGTCAAACTTCTTCTGAAATAACATCCATCGACGTACACTGCTATTAAAAATGATAAAATAAAAGAATAGTTAGCGATCATAANAACACTAAATATAGTTTCAGCTAAATTGACAAAACACAAAATTACCTATAGCAAAATTGTAACTAATAATGATGAACATCGAAGCATCAAAGAATATTTTGCCACCACAGCTGCTCAATCAATTCCAAGAAGAATTAAAGAAAAAATTTCTATAGCATGTACTGACTTTGTTGTTTTAGATAATCGGCTGTTCCAATTAATATGTAGTGATCGTTTTGTCAATTTAGCTGAAACTATATTTAGTGTTGGTAGGAGTATGTCTAACTCGTCAAATGTTAACATGGTATGATTTATTACCGAATCCCACAACTGTAATCAAAAACTTTAAGAAACAAACCTAGTAGATATACTTTTATATATTTTAGATCAGTGGAAACATCGACAGAATGTTCAATTATAGAAAATCTCAATATAATAGATCTTTGTAAAGCTAATAAATGGTACACGGTGGTTGTGGATTTCTGGACAGATTCTGATTCAGGTAAAGTGTTGTATTAAACTTTTTTACGTCTATTTCATTAATAAAAACCGAACTTAATCTACAGAAGGTATGTTTTGCTCGATACTTCTCGTTTATTCTAGTGGACCAATTTCGTGGGATTGCACTTCATGATTTAACTTCTCAACTATAATTACAAAATTGGATTCTTAGTTGTTATCCCTATGATTGTAAAAATCATAGTGCTTTTCAAGTACGACAATTCGTCAATTCTAAATTATCCGAATTTCATTTGAAGCTCGATAATGAAATATTTGTGGTCAGTGATAATGAAAATTGAATGAAGGCAGCATTTAACGAATCATGTTCAAGAATTGATTGTTGTATACATTATCTGAATAAGCAACTGAAACATACATTTGTGACAAAACAAATTCTTAAAGTCAAAGTTAATTGTAATATAGCTCAAGAAATGTTTTCAAATATTAGGAAAATTGTAGCTCATACGACTAGATCTCAGAACAATGTAAACTATCTCATAGAATTCAATCTTGTCCAGAAACAAGATTTAACGGAGCTTGTATTACAATAGATATATTTTTACTAGTATTCGATGAATTGATCACTGTGTTGAATTCGAGTTTTGTAAATTATTATTTATCAATTGATAAAGAATTATTAGAATGCATTTGTTCATTTTTAAAGTCATTTGAAGCAGTAATTGAAGAATTAAGTAGTGATATTGTTCCAATAATTCATAAAGTTTTACCTTTACGAGAATATTTTGCTAAATCATTGTCGAGTTAATCCTGATGATAATGATGGTGTAAAAGAAATTAAAATATTCTTAGGTATGTCACTGATTCAAAAGCCTTAGATCTTAATAATACTTTCTTCTTATGTCTTGCACATTCAGTGGCATACATGGAGTAAAGATAAGACTTGATTATGCCCAAATTCAGAAGTGATTGCGTAACTCTAATATCAAGACTAATAAAGTTAATTTAAGCTTTTTTCCAAGATGTTCGTCGCGCAATGAGATTTCTAAAACCTTTGTTGATCATTTTAGAATTATATATTAAAAATGTTTGGGTTTTACATGATGTGCATTTTATTACAAGTTTATTGCACCCTCCATTCAAAAATTTCATTTAAATCCAAAATTAAAAATAAAGGGGATCAATTTGGTAAAGGAAGTCATTTTGTAGCGATTTTCATCAACAATCGACAATAACTCCTCAAACACTACAGCAGCATCTCATACTCAATCAACATCTTTAAAGACCCTTCTTTCGAAACGTTTTGACTTGCCAACTGCAACTTTCAGGTCTTTGTCAACACCGCTTGATGAACATACTGAATATATGCAATTGGACATGCAATTAAATGAAGATGACGAAGTACTGCGTTTTGGTTACAGCACCAATCAAAGTTTCCTATTTTAACATCAATTGTACAGAAGTTTTATGCAATACCAGCATCAAATACCTCAGTCGAAAGGTTATTCTCATCGTCTAAAAGTACAATAAGTGATCGACGTACCAGACTTGGTGTTGAAGAAATTAGATGCAACAACAGTGAATGTAGCTCTTGAAGTTTAAGTGAAAAGAAAAACCGCTGAACTATCATTATCCTCAATTTCAATTCAAAGTCAAGAGCAACTGATGGCAAAAGCTGCAGCAAAAAACTCAAAATGGTTGAACAAGATAACAGTTTTATATGTGATGATGATATCGAAGAAGATAAAGAAAACGATAAAATTCTTTTTAGCAAGCGTTTCTAATTAAATAAGTATGTCTTGAGCACATAGTATTATAAAAAGTTTTCTTATTATTTTACTTTCTCTTACACTTTTTGAATAAAGGATTTTTCAATAAATATCAATTGCGTTTTAATTGAACAACTAAAGAATGAAAAATGTCACAGATTGAATTTTAAATTTTTTGCATATATCTGATGATTTAATGGCTCCGGTTCGATGAAATATTTTAGGAACTGAACCGGAACCAACGATCTCTATTAAGAATAGCCCCTATCTACGTCATATCGCCATGCAGACATATAAATTCGTACGGCATAATTTTTATGTGAAAGTTATTCAAAGATGTGGTCAGCATACACTCTTTCTAAAATATTTTCTTAATATTGATAAATACAACGAATCGAAAAAAAAGACTTTTTTTCCGGAGATTTAAATTTAGGGCAGTCCTCCCACGGACTCTCTCTTAAAAGGTTAAAAAAAATTTGTTTCACAGTATTGTTTCATTTGTGTTGGAAAGATCTGAAATGACTTGACAGTCATGAACCTCTTCAATATTCTCTCTCAAACCACTTTTGATTGTAATAATCAAAAAAACGCATGTTAAATTGAAATTTTATTTTGTTTAGAAATTTAACTTTGAAACCTCGGAAAATTTTCTATGTAAATATGGTATTTTCTTTTTTTCATTGCAACCGGACAGGCATGTCTATGTAACGTAAAAATAAATACTTAATCATGGTCATCATTAGAAAGCATAGGAAACTTGTTTGGTTCCTTGTATTGTCAGATAGTTATTCACAGAGCTGCCCGTCCGTTCTGATGATCTGCTCTTGTTCAAAAAATTTTTCATTAAGTTGTCAGGCCAGATCATGCTAAAAGTTTTTCGTCTGATCAACTTGAGACAAAGTCTACTTGAAATTAATATCATTGTTCATATCGAACGTTAACTGCCGTTTTAGGTTGAGTTGCATTTCGAAGAATTTTAAAATAAAATGATTAGAAGAACTCCCCAGTATATTCCAATAGACAGAACAATACATGGAACAGAGAAAAGTAAATGCAGTTTAACTTCTTGTCAGACGAATAAAACATGAATTAAGTAATTGAATCTATTGAACTACTTTTGTTAGGCATTTGCCTGCAAGTCTGGCGAAACTACAGGTCGATGTGTGTTCAGTCTTATTTTCTTCCAATGTAACTAATACACAAGTGACATCTATATTTTCTACTAATTTCCTTTCTATAATGAAAAAAAAACAAGTTTTAAATATTCTGCGAAGAAAAAAATAATGTTCGATATAATATAGTAATTTATTAAATTTTCATTTTCTTATGACATTATTAAGGTATATATTAACAAGCAATGGCAATGATTTGTTCTGTAGTGTCTCATGCGTCCTTTTATCCGACCACGCCATTGTTTTTCTCTCTCTCTCTTTTTCTGACGCCTCCTACTGTCGCTCATTCTTTTCTTTTTGCGTTCTGATCCATTCGTTCCTTCAACAATCGAACAAGACAAGAGAAAAAGAAAAACGAAAAAAAAAAAAAAGATTTTTCAAATTATCTATAATGTTGTTGAAAATTGTAACTCTTATTATTATCAGGTACATTTAAAATTCCATATCAATTTTATTCTTTCTTTTTTTTTCTCATATTTTACATTGTATTTAGTTTTGGGCAAGAATATCAAACATAAATGAGCGGTTTTGATTGTTCATTACTTGAAGAGCAGCATTTTCAAACATCAGACTCACTCAAAGATGGCGCTATATCATGTTCAGATTGGTCTCGTTTTGCCATAGCATCATCAACTGGTTTTACATTATTAACATTTAGTGGTCATTCATCACGTAAAGTTCAATTATTTACTGTTTCATGGTTTCAACTTGATCAACATCTTGAACAAGATGATTTACGATATTATACATATACACCATTAGCTCTTTTTTGTCCAGATTCATTACGACCTGATGGTGCTCGTTTATTAGCTGTTGCTTCATCAACAGGTCAACTTGTTATATGTGATGCTAATCAAGAATCACCTGTTGTTTTATTTAATGTTTCGAAACGATGGCGATCACAATTAGATGAACGAAATGGTACGAATACAACAACATCACGAAAAACAGCAACTACTAATGGAACAACAGCAACAACAACAACTACTACTACTGGAGGATTATCACGTGATGAAGAAGCATTACTAGGTTAATAAAAAAATTTAAATTATAAAATAAATTGTCTTATTTTCTATCTTTTATTTAGTACCAACATGTTTAGGTTGGTCAAATGTTCTGCGTCGTGATTCACCATCTCGTTTTGTTCTACTTTTTTGTGGTCTTGAATCAGGTCATGTTGCTATATGGCAATTATCTGAACAACAACCAACAAATAATCTTACATTAACATATGCTGCTTTACTTGAACCAAATGCAGCTGAACCATCAATAACATCATCAACAAATGGTATGAAAAAATCTACTCTTTCACCAACAATGTCCAACGGTTTATATAATTCTAAATTAGAAACATCATATAGATCACCACATAATTCAATATCAGCTATGGCATGGCTTTCATTATCTGATACAGCTGGTATATTAGCACTTGGTTCATCACATGGACATGTATCACTTATATCAATATCATTAACTGGTAATGAATTAACACCATTACTTGCATATACAAAACAAGAATCACCGCATCTTGTTTCAAATGGTGCACGTATACATCATATTGCATTATATCAACAATATAATGAACATCGATTATTTTTTGCTCAAATGGATTCAATTGTTATAGCAACATTAAATATAACATCAACTGGTTATAATACATCATGTTCACAATTTACAATAAAAACAGTTAATGAATATGCTTTAAATTCAAGTGTATTAACACATTTTTTATCTGATACACAAGATTTATATTTAATATGTCGAGATGGTTTTATACATCGACAAGTAACACAAACATTTAATGATCCACATCTTCATCATCATCATCCAGCACAACATACAACAAGATTTGAACAATTTTGTCAATTATTACCAGCAGGCTAGTTTATAGAGATTCGTTTCTACGTAGTTTGCATCCAGTGGGAAAAAAAACAAAAGTAGATTTTACAAATGTTAAGTAGAAAATAGAGCACATACTCGGTACTGACTCAATACTTTTTATCGATTCGTAAAAGAAGCAATTTTTATTTGAGACAATAAATGCTTAAGGGGGATATGACTTCAAGGACTTGGAACATTGTCAGTTCGATTACTTTAGTTGGAGGGAAAAAACAGTTCTGGTAATATAAACGTTCCTGGATTTAGTTATGAATTTTTCAAGAAATCGTATTCATTACATAACAATGGTATATTCGAAATCACTGCATGACAGCTACCACGAAAGAATTTTCAAGAAAAATGACTTTTAAGTAAAAGGCTCCGTCTCCAAATAAAGAACGTCACATATACGACTGATATAGGTAAAATGCATAGTATGTTCCCACGTGGGTGCGGGATCAATGGTCAAAGATCATTGAGTACATCTCCATAGTAACCGAGGACAATAGGTGTCAGTTCTCATAATGCGTTATTAATGGCAAAAGCCATTGGACGACAATAACAATAAGTCTTAGATTGTTCTAGAACATTACAAGGTTTCCTTGAAGTTTCAATATCAGGAATATGTTTTCTAATGTTCTAAATAATGCATAATATTAAATTAAGAGTAATGGAATACGAGAATAAAAGAAAACAATGATAAGCTGATAGACATTTTTTCTTAACGTATTTTTTGTATTAGTATAAAACAACTAAATAACATATGTAAGTTCTATATCTTAGACTTCGATTAGAAGATAATTATAATAAGGTATACGCCATTAGTGTTTTCTTCTAGAGGATTTAGATCTTTTATAGAAAAAAAGTCAATCATCATATATTTCAGGTAGTGAATGTCAAGCAGCTGGTATAACTCCAACACATTGTACTGTATTAACAATGAAACGTAGTGAAGCTATATTAACATTATCAATATATTCATTAAAAGATGTACCATCAACAATAACATTTTTTCTTTCAAATCCTTTACCATCATTTCGTTTAAATGATGTTCTTGCTGCCTTACGTGTTTTACTTTATTCAGATAAATCAAATGCATTAACTGATTTAATTATGTCTGTTGCTGATTGTGCTGATCAAGCAAGTGTTAGTCTATTAAAAAAAGTTCATTCATTATGTCGTTTATTATTATCATATCATAATAGTGGTCTTGGTAATGGTTTACGACAAGCACCATATATGTTATTTTTAGCTGATGTTTTTGCACAAATGATATCAATTGATTTAATTAAAAAATTATATGATTATGTACAAACTGATCAACAAATACAATTAACACCAATTGAAAAATCAATACTTTATTGGTGTGAACAATTATTACAATATTCAACACAACAATTACAAGCATCAGCTAATGTAACAAATCCTAATGGTAATACAAATATAAATTTAACAGCACAATTTAGTTCATTACTTGCTATGGCTAATCCAAATATGACAACAACACCAATAACAATATCAAATGGACCAATAACACAAACACAAATAAATAGTCAATATTTATCAACATGTGATCAAAAATATCTTCATTGTCAATTATGTGGACAAACATTACATATACGAACATTTTTTGATATAACTTGTTCAAATGGACATGATTTTCAACGTTGTAATAAAACATTTCTACCTATATTTATACAAGATCGTGCTAAACGTTGTTCATTATGTAATTTTTATATAAATGATACAACTATAGATGAATCAATACAATTACCAACATTAATTAAAATACTCGGAGGATTTACTTGCACATTTTGTGGTTGATGTCTTCTTTTTTTTTCTTCTTCTTTTGTGTTTATGTACAGTTTGTTGATTTGTTTGTTTGGTTGGTTGTTTTTCTCTCTCTCTCTCTCTCTCTCTCTCTGTCTCTCTCTCTCTGTCTGTGTGTTGTACATATAACAGATTTCTATAACTCTACTCGTTGTTTTGTACTAACTATTTTTCATTGAACAAAGATTCATAGTGATTATTCTATTTGCAATTTTTGTTTGCATGTATAGAAAATGAATGTGTGAGCACGATGTAAGAGTGTTTTCGTTTATTTCTTTTTTTTTGTATTATATATTTACATATACATATACACACACCAACGTATTACGAAAGAAAAAACAAAAACAAAAAACTTCTCTTTTTTTTTATTATTATTATTGAAGAAAGCGAAAAAAAATACATTTTGTTTATTATTTTAGAAATTCGTTCTTATTTGCATATTTAACAATTTGAATAACTCGTATGTCACTAGGATAGTTTTCTTAGCGAATAATAAGAAAAAATATCTCTACAAATTCTTTTTTGTTAATATAGTTCAGTTAATGGGTAATCAACAACCAACGGGTCGTACCCGTAGTGACACATATACACGATATGAACGAGACGGTGAAGATGGTCGATATGTAACTCTTGATCATCATGATTCTAGTGGAAGTAGTCAGGTATCATCATTTGATGAACGAGTAAATATAAAATTGAACAGACTAATTAAATATTTTATAATCATATTCAGGGGACACCACGACATGATCCAAGTTTACCAATACGTATTCGTAATCAACGTCATATGCATCATCATCATACACAACAAGCTGTTCATGCAGAAATGCATAATGAAAAAAAAACGATTCCTGTTGTATTTAAATATCCAGCATTACCAAAAGATAAAGAAGCTTTATTAACTGGTACATTTACAAATTGGAAAGATACAATACCAATGGTTAAAAGGTTTTTATTTTATTCTAAATAAGAATTTTATTTTTTAATAAAAATATAATTCTTCTTTTATAGTGATAATGATTTTGTTGCTATTTTGGAATTACCTGAAGGTGAACATGAATATAAATTTAATATTGATGGTCGGTGGGAATATGATATAAATGAAGTATAAAAAAAATATATAAATACTTTTTTTTTTCGATTTTTTTTTTTCTGTTTCAGTAAAATAATTTTTCTTTTGTTTACTTTTAGCCATCCAAAGATGATGGTCATAATGGTCGTAATAATATTGTAACAGTTAAAAAAAGTGATTTTGAAGTTATGGAAGCACTTACATCGGATTCAATTTTATCTAATAATCAAAACTCAAATTTAAATAAACAACAATGTGAAATAAAAAAAGAATTATTTTTATGCTTTATTTTAACTGCTTTTCTTTTTTTTAATTATTAGCAACTGATACAGATTTGGCTCGTTCTCCACCAGGCTCGTATGAACAAAATTGGCCACCGACAAATCAAAAAGAATTCTCACAGACAGATAAACCACCATTTTTACCACCACATTTACTTAATATTATTCTCAATAAAGATACAGCAGCACATGTAAATTCATCTTATTTTTCTTTTTATTTAGAAATTCTTTTTTTTTTTTCTCATTCTAGTATGAACCAGCTTTATTACCAGAACCAAATCATGTTATGTTAAAACATCTCTACGCATTATCTATTCGTGTAAGTTTTCATTCAATCGATAAAAGTCTAAATATATACTTTGACTTTTTCTTTCCAAATATTTCTAGGATGGTGTTATGGTATTAAGTACAACGACACGTTATAGACATAAATTTGTTACAACATGCTTTTATAAACCGACAAGCAAATAAAATATCTCTTCTCTTCTTTTTTTAAACAAAATAATTTTGTAGATACTATTTGCTATATGATAACATGTTCCCTTATAAGGTTTTTCTTCGTGATATAAAAGTGTTGCTCTTGTGACCTAATATCTTCATCATTTGTTCATCTGTACTGTTTTTTTTTGTCTTCTCATGGTCAGAATATATAAGTGTGAGTGACTATATACATAGATATAACAATATCTCAGCAATGTTTTATTTGTTTTATAGTGATTGGCTATCAAAATGATGTATTCTTGTAGTATTCAGTTGTCCATAATAAAAAAAAAAAAAACAACGAGTAATAGGTTATGCAAACAACTATAAAAAAAGGACTTTCAAACCATACAGTTTACGGTGCTCTAGTAAACGGTAGATGTCCCAATCGTCTACATTATTTTATCTCTTGATAGAATTGTCTGTTTACACAACTTCTACTTTTCTCTATTGAAAGAAAAGCATGTGCCATATGGCAGATAGCAGAAGAGTTTACAATCTGATATCAATAAAATGATCGTTGTTCACCAAAACAATTTTATAATTAATTGATTGAAATTTTTTGTTTAAATTTTCCCTTCGTTATGTTATAGCTCATTTTTATCATTTTAAATGAATGATGTGAAAACACTTTCACACTATATGACAACAGGAATATACACTGCAATAGACTGTTTCATTAATAGCGATGTATTCTTATTTTATTATGATAAAGAACAATTGATTCAACAGAATTGTCAGTGTTTTAATAAATCTCATTTGCATATACAAATACGGATGCTTGTTAAATGTTCATTTCATTATTTAAGATAATCTTTTTTTTTTTTGACAAAAATAATCGAAATTAATCATCGTTCTCATCAGATTGTGCGCAGTGTGCAATTTTCGTTTTGGTTATTAGAAAAAGTCGCTCTGGCACTTGATGATTTACTAATCAAACGCATATATTTCGTCATCACGACTATGTTCGATTGGTGTAGAATGTTTACCTCTTGATATAAAGTTGTAATAAGCAAATATTTTTTTAGTTCGCACATCGCTCGTAACTTTTCTTTCGTTCTTATATATTCGATGTTTCGTTTCTTCGTTCTGTTATGTAATGTGTAAAGACAAGACGGGTATCGAGACTTTATATTTTCTTGAATAAGTATCGCTTCTCGGCCTTTTCGGCTAAGATCAAAGTGTAGTATCTGTTCTCGTCGGTTTGAAAGCCGGCGCTGGTCCCATTGGGGCCAGGCTCTTTCAAGCGGATTTTTGGACATCGGCCAGGATCACCCGAGTTCACTCGGACCTGTGC